ATCAGTAGTAAACTGATCAGTAGTAAACTCATCAGTAGTAAACTGATCAGTAGTAAACTGATCAGTAGTATTCAAATGGTTGTTGAACAGCTGAGGAGAATGTCACTTAACGAGCTAATTTTGCTGTCGAATTTGACCAGTTCTGGTGCTGCATTAATCAAATTAAGCAATGAAAAGCGACTAGGAAGATTTGAGTTATTTTTTTATTGACTCAACTAATTTAGAGATTTTACCACTCCTGATATCACAAATTTCAGATTCAACGTTTGGTTTTGCACCATGTACCCAATACTCCCTGAAAAATACGTGAAACATAAAGCCATTATACGGGAAGCTGGCAGTTTTGGAGAGTTTTGAGAAATAAATATTCCCTTTTTTGCCGCAATACCACATTCATTAATTCTAATAAGTGGCTGGAAACCTCGGAATACGTAGGCTAGTAGATCATAACCCCATTGTCTCCCTCATCTGTGAAGACAGTCGTACAACTGTTTACCAGAGATTACGAAAGGAGATTTGTGATGTTTCCATTAGATTCCAGCCACACTCAATTCCTATTTGCGGGAATATCAGAGAGACGGAGTCAGGTTCTTGTTCCAACACTACTCTGAAAATACTGGCGCCATCCTCGGAGATGACATGGGTTTGGGTAAAACAGTTCAGGTGAGTAGTTTTTAATTACCGTACGTTTTTAATTACCACATGTGTGATCATTATGTTTGGAAAGCTAAATACCAACTGAAATACCATATAGCCTGGCATATATAGGCCACCAGAGACTGGTACGGGGCAAGCGAAAAGAGAAAGTCACCGATTGCATTCGAGAAGGTTGTAAATCACTTGCCCTCTTGTGTTCTCCCAGCATCCCACATAAAATATGGGTTTTATCGCATAATGAAACTAGATGTAAGGTGAGTTACTGCTTAACTAATCTTAATTTCCCGAGTTACTTTCATGGGGAAAGTGTACCGATTCCATCTTACTAAGACATACTAAGTTGATCTGAAGTTTTGTTGCATCCAATCTTAACTCATTTCTCAGACTGATTGGCACTCTAAATCTTCTGAGATAATATTTCATCAAAGTTACGTCCAAATTATTTGAATTTTGGAAAGTAACATAAACAGCGTCACTAACTTAGTTCTCAGTTACTTGCCTCTGGAAAGAAATGTGCCTTGTACATTGTCTTGATTGTGTAACTTATGAAACTAAAAGTAAAAAGTTGTACTGAAGCTTTGAAACAAAGATGATAAGGAATATTAATAACTTGGTCGGTAAAAGTATTGCTTTCCAATTCCCCCAAAGACTACATAGAATAACATTGCAGTTCGTTCTTTGATTTGATTTGACTGCACGCTTCCAGTCACTGGAGTGTTAGACATATAGTTTTACTTTCTCTTTACAAACAAACACAGTGCATCTAGGGGGGAGAATTACAAACCGATTATTGGACTATTTATTCTGCAGATAGACCTAAGTTAAATATTGTCCTGGGAAATCTTCACCCTTTTCTGAGATTGTTGGGGTTCAAGATTATCTGAGCTAGACATTCATAAAGCATACGTATAACATCTTAGGAATCTCAACCTCATTAATATGACTGACTCATCTTTGAGCCGTGTACCTTTGATGAGAAAGTGCGCTTTGTATTGTGACGGGGTTTTATGTGTAATGAAACAAGAAGGGACAAAGTGAAGAAAAGGTGTCCTGCAGAACGAAGATAAATGTACATTTTAGAATGAGAACGAGAAACTAGTCGCCGAGCGGATTAGGAGTAGAAAACAAATTCTCTGAAATACCTATTTATAAGATGAAACAACCCTCCTGGCTTCAAGTGTTTTTCAGTTTCTCTCTCAACATTTCGCTAATGTGCTCCCACATAATTTGTAAAAGCCGGGAAAGAAGTTACTCAATTATTTTTCAGGCCCTTTTCTTATAAGAAGAAACAGCCTTGCATAGTGTACGGATCGTATGATTAATAATAGTTACCTTCACTTATGCTTTCCAGGTCATATCTTTCATCGCTGCCATTTTGGGTAAAACTGGAACCAAAGCTGATATCTTCCACAAATTCATGGATGGAAAGGCGCATGGAAAACAGGTTCGGTTAGATCAATCTGAGATTAGAGGGTGAACGAAATTCCCTTTGGTTTTCTCTACTATACTCTCCCTCCGTTAAAAAAAAAAAAAAAACCTGCTCAGTTATACTTTGCCAATGGCCTGCGCTAATTTTTCCCCGCTTAGCGCTGATTGCGTTCAGTGAGTTTGCTTCCAGTGGTCAGAATTCATCTGACCACTTACGCATGATCATCAGTACACATAAAAGGTTTTTTGCTATGATCTTGGTCTTATCTTCCATTATTCCATTACTATACCAAAACAGGGTTTCAGCATTTTATAGGAACTTCGCGGCTTTAGATAGAACATAGTTAACTATGGATAGAAAGGAAAGTGAAGAGCAAATAAGATGATGCCTTTTTTAAGCTCTTTCTGTTTTCCATGATGTGTTTACTTGTGTCTTGTTTTATTCCCCTGTGGGAAGCCACCTTATATTTGAGTCTCGCTCGACGATTTTTTTTTTAGCACTGAAAGTTGAATTTTTACTTTTGAGAATTTTCTATGGCCAGCGTACTACAGTTTTCTTTGTTTATAGAAGAATATTGCATATTGTTGAAACGGTTAACTGATACTCAAATATTTGCTTTATCTGATTGTTTCAATTTCAGCATTTTGAACTTTGCACGAAGTAGATCATGACTTTTTTTCGGTTTCAGTTTTTTTTTATTAAGCTTCTTGTTCAGCCAGGAAGAAACTTTCAATCTTCAGTTCTCCCTTTAATATGGGGATCCTTAGGTAAATTTTGAACCCCCATTACTGACAGCCGCAAAATAAGATTTTTTTATTTATCTCTTCTTTTTTCAATCTCATCAATGAGCTGTCATACCTATTTGATTTGTGGTTCCAGAGTTTAACGACACCGTCACACTTTTCATGTAACCTAAATATAGATTTCTTCATGGTTGGTGATCGCGTACGATTTTTACTCACGAGTTGCGAACAACCGCACACGGACAAGCGAGTCCTCGCGTGAATGTTTTTGTGATGTTTCCTAACAAGTGAATAATAGTACTAAGATATTACAACTGTAAGTAACTTGAAACTGAATCACTGTCAACAGACCACAAAAGACAAAAAAGTAGCAAACTCTGCGGCATTCAAATATGCTTTAAAAAGCGAGAAAATAATTCATTTCCAGAAAAAAGATTACGAAACCCGTTCAAAGAAATTTAGGATTACGACTGACAGTTGAAGAGTTTCTTAAAAAAATAACCTTACATAAGCTTTCAACCTAACAAAGCGTTACCTGACTTTTCTACTCGGAATCGGGGTCCAGATTTTTATTTGGTGAATTTGCACTGAGCAAATCTTAGTACTTATATTATAAACGTTTAGTATTTTGTCCATTGTTACATATCCTTTTGCATCTCTGATGAGTTCAAGGGAGATGTTATGCGATAAACGCATTTCAAGGGCCGAGAACTAAAACCGAAGCTTTTACCGGTACTATGGGGGTTATATTTTATTATTGTCGGTTCGGGCATTTTTATTGATAATATTCCTTGGCTCTCAGCAAGATTTCTTGTTCCGTCAAATCAACATGGCGGTCCCAGCTAAAGATCACCCTTGTAGAAATAGTTGTAGAAATACGAAATGTGTAGCTGCATAAAGGAAGCAGTTTTCGGGATCCAGTTTTAGTATTCTATCTTACTAGTCCTAATTAAGCAGTCATGAATTTTATTAACCCGGTAACTTGGTATTTGGAAAGGATATAACCTCTCACGGGCCGTACGGACTTAATTGTTTCTCTCTAAAAATTAACGAAGGGAAAGAGGGATAATTCTTTCGAGAAACGCACTCGTTGGTAAAATACTATAAAGGTACGTGTATCCCTGAATGGTTTTTGCTTTTAAACTTGAAAACTGATTTGTCCGGTGGAAAGTGATCCTGCTGCTGCTCTACCAGAAGTTTGTTTTAACAACGGATTGCTTAACTCATGGCAGTAAAGATGAGATCAGTAATGATTTTCCTACTATCATTACTATCAGTAATGATTTTCCAGATTGAATTTTGTTACTTTTACCTTTTCGGAAGGAAGAAATTAAGAAAAAGACTCTAGAGGAAGGAGGAGAATTACATTTAACAATAAAGGTGATCATCCACATGTGACTCCAAGTGGAGGACTCGAACCCAGGCCACATTTGCTCAGGCAAGCGCTCCCACCCCTATCATTCTGGCGGCAATAGCGGCGGCAACTCATTTTTTTGTCAAGCTTTCGTTCTCTGAATTAGGCAAGAAACTTACTGAGGTGACGGACTGAACATACAAGTTGATAACTTGTACGATCCTGCAAAATTTAGCTTAATAACTTTGCGCACGAAGTTGTGTCATATTTCAGTGTGATGAAGTTTGGTTCAATCTGTACATGAAAGGTTTTTTTCTCCAATTCCAGCTGTTACAGGGCCACAGAAATTGAATGTAATGAAACCATAGCTTTGAGTAACCTCTGCTTTAATTAAAGTCCGTCTACTATTTTGAAAATAACCTTTTTGTATTTCTAGTCGTCTGGTACTTTATAATGATTTGATCAGAAATCGATTGTAGAAACTAATACCCCAGTCTATCAATAAAAACAGTTCTGTGATCAAAATATAGTAAGATTTATTCTTTTTCTTTCACTTTTGGCTCATTGAAAATTAATGAAAGTGAAAAAGTTTAAACTTTTCGGTTGTGTTTTAAAAAAAGGTTCATTTCATTCAACATTGCAAAGACTGAATCCAGAATCTACTTACGTTCGTTTTTTGTACATATTTACTTCTGCTTCAGAAATCAGCTAAGAATTCAAACAAGTTTTCCACTAAGTTGTCACTAGAAGCAAATAACCGAGGAGGTTAACTGAAAACTGACACCAAGTTAAGTGTTCTAGCAATTTACAAATTTGAAAAACATCGTTTTCGGCTCTTTCTTTGGTGACAGTTACAATGAAATTATATGTCCTTCAAAATGACACAACAGCGAACCAAAGCGCAATTCTTCCATTGAGACAAGTACACATAAACTAAGGCAGCTCTCAAGTCACGGTCATATTTCTGCTCTGACAGATTACAAAACATAACCAAGAAAATCCACGTCTGCGGTTTCTATTAGCTGACACAGTCTTGATGTTTTGTCGACAGAAACAATCTGACAATTGTGGGAGTGAATTATGTGACGTCAAATACCTGTATGCATGCGCGCCTTCTCTTTTTCGTGTATAGACTGGCAGCTGTGAACCTCTGTTTATCCCGATGCGAGGCATAGTTTCCTTTTCAAATTTAGTAGTTAACCTACGACGCTGCCTAGAATTGGTTTCTGCCTAAATTGGTTTCACCTGCGACAGAGAAATGATCTGCAAATATATTAGCTATTGTTCAATGTTTCTTTAATAGTAACTAGCAGAGCACCACTCAAACGTCGTTTAATCCGGTTTTTACTAAATTTTCCCAAAGTCAATGCATAGAAACGTTTTTCCCTGTTTCTGTAACGTACGTAATCACTCGGAATCGATTGTGCGCACGAGAAAAGGTTTCTCGCAAAATTCATCTCGGGATTTTCTGAGTTGCACCTATCTAGCTTGTTGCAAATGAATAATGAAGGAAAACTGTCATTCCGACTCAGAAGTCCGCTGCTGCAAGTGAAACAATAAAGGCGTTGGTTTTAGTGCGGAGCTGTTTCCTCCAAAGAAGGAAAATGATGAATCCTTTTCCAGGCGTCGTCACAATTGAAAGAGACCAGCCAAGAAACCAAAACCAGTTTTCCATTTTTTAGGTCTACTTTATAGTGCTCTATCTGTTCATAACCCAAGAAATTGTCTAAACTAATATCATGATTAGACTTCTGAAGTTATTACGAGCGCAGTTGATTACAGGTTTTTAAAAAGCATCTTGTCCTCTTTGTTTGTCTTCAGTGACATATTGAAATGAGAAATGATCTTCCTTGATATTGAAGGAAAGCCACTAACAACTATTATAGCGTTTCTAATCACTGAAATATCAATCTGGATTTCAAACTCGTAAAAAGGCTTCATTTACAAACATAGAACTTTGAAAGAAATTTTCCGGTCAGTCACGTTGTTTTGACAGCATACAATGCTGCTATTGTAATCTGTCATATCAGTAACACCTGTATTAACTTGTTATCCTACATGAATAAACCAGTTTATAATATAGCAAAATGCTTGACACCATATTGACGCGAGCAAGAACTGCGTGTAATTATTTAAGCCGCCTTATTTGATAACTTAGAGAGTTTGTACTTATTGACTGAGTGGGAGGGCCGGACGGGAAAACATTTGGCTCGAGGTTATGACGTACGGACCGAGTACAGTGAGGTATATGCGTCATGACTAAGGGCCAAATATTTGCTATTCGGCCCGACCAAACTCAGTCAATAAGCACTTTATTATATGACGACATTGTTCATATGGTGACATTTCTTTCGCCTTTTTGCGAAAAAGTGAAGGCATTTTTGTAAGTATCTAGATTAGTGACGTCTCTTGCGACCCAATGCTATCCTTTTTTCTTTCAACCAGAAAAAGGTCAGCCCACAGACAGGTACCTTTCTGGTAGTAAGTCCAGGCTCTGTCATGTTCAACTGGAGGGATGAGCTGCAAACCTGGGGACATTTTAAGACGGGTCTCTTTCATGGTACCACAAGGGAGTCCATCCTGGAGAGGGCCTCTAGAGGGCGACTAGATGTAGTGCTGACCACATATGAGACCATGAGAAATTATTTAGTGAGTTCATGATGCGCCTTGTCTTGATAATGAAGCCAAAACTTGTTAAGTCCTTCATTTGCAAATCTGTGTGAATTGTCCTCATCCCATCCTTACATATTTAGGCACTTATTTAAGTTCTAAAGTGAAGTGGATTCAGTTTGTTTGTTGAGGTGGAATTGAAGTAAGAATTCGGTTCATAATATTTGGAATGTGAAAACCTAGCTTCTGGACCTGGAAGGGATGGAAAAACAATCTGGATTTCCAAACAGACGAAAGTGTGGAAAATAAAGTTAAGTTCTTTTTATTACTCTCTCTTAGACTGATTTGAACCGAATCAAATGGTCAGCTGTAATCATGGACGAAGTCCATCGCCTCAAAGATCCTAAGGCTCAGATAACAGTGGCTGCTAAAGCTCTCAATGTGAAGAGAAGGTAACGCTATTTGGAATGCTTTTACCTGAACTCATGTAACTATAGACAATTCTGTACTTTGTCAAGCTAGGTCAACATCATTAATGAGACTTTATGGCGCAATGCTTCTTTGTTTAGCATTTAATTATACTCGAACAAGTTAGTAATTTTTCGACTTTATAGTAAAAAAAGGCAGTGCGAAAGGATGTCGTGTTTTGTTTTGCTTAACATTTCGTTGTCGGTTAAAATTGTTTTATATAATTGGTTTCCTGTACATCAGATATGGCCTCACAGGGACCCCACTTCAGAATAAATTGGAGGAGTTCTGGTGTGTGTTGGACTGGGCAAACCCAGGAAGTTTGGGAACAGCTAAAAACTTCAATCAGGAGTTTGGCAAACCTATGCTGAAAGGACAGACTTTTGACGCAACAAAAAGAGAACTGGCTGTGGGAAGAAAGAGTGAGTTTTTCAGCTTTACACCTCATATTTTTGGCGGAGGCCTCGTAGTCTGACTTTTTGTGGGATTCCACTAATTACTGCACAAATATCTTCAGGAAACTAACAACTGTAGTTTGGGGGGGGGGGGAGAAGGGGTAGTAGTAGAACAGTGACAAGGAATTCAAAGCTGTTCTCTCATCTCGTATTCCTCTTTGAATTATCGTGTACTTTAACGACATTTAATTGAATTTTTCAAAATCTCAAGGGGTAACACGCGATTCTCATGCAATGACGCAGCAACTTAAGATTACTTTTGCGGCATGTTATTTTCATGTATTATTTTCTGCGGGAACACATATTTACGGCTCAAGGACAATCCTCAAGTCTTAAGTGCCTGCTTCCATGGACAGACTTTGAAAAACTTTGTTCTGACTGGCTTTTGACAGAGAAACCCCATATGAACCCTAAATCAAGTTCGATCTTTGCAACTGGAGTGACGAAGTTGGTACAACTGTTTAGATAGTAATAATACTCCGACATGTCCCCTTTTTAGGTTCTTTTGAAGACAGGATTAATCATTTAATAGAAAATAGATATTGAAGGAGGAGGCCTCCAGTCGCTCAAAAATGATTTTCAGGAGGCTCTTCACAGAAATAGTGAGGGAAAAAAAATTGTCCCTCAAAGACTGAAATAAAAATCAATAGAAAACGAGTCAAGTAGGGAACACGGGAAGAATTAGTTGGGAGAGATTTTTTAACTCTTTTTTTTTGTACCGATTTTCTTTGACATAACCAAACAGTCTCCCGAGGGATGGTACGCTACAATTTTTTTTGGGCGTTGGCTGGTTTTACTTTGCCCTTTTCAGTCTTCTCTTCTCGTTGTTTGACGATTTTTGTGTTTTTATTTCTGGTGGCTAGTTTTCTCTCATTATGTTCGTACTCTCTATTTTATGTAGGATCTAAAGATCTTCAAGATAGAATTGGAAAATGGTTTCTTCGAAGAACGAAAGATCTCATTGCAGATCAGTTACCTAAAAAAGGTAAGGTGTGGGCAAAGGGTCAACTTAGGTCGTGTCTCTGGGTGGGAAGTGGGACCGGAAGTTGCCAAGTTGACGAGGTTCAACAATTTTCCATGTTTGTCGGGAGGAAAGAGGTGATGGCCTGTTGGTTGACGCGCTGGACGCTGTATTGAGAGGTCTGAGCTCTAGGCCTGGCGGGTGGATTGAATTTTTTTCTGATGAAAGACAATTTACTCTCATAGGGCCGGTCATTTAAACAAAGTTTAGCCGTTGTTTAACCAAACCGCATCCTAAACTATCTGGAATTTAGCTGAATCTTTACCTGAACGTCTATTTTTGTGAACAGTGTCAAGAGGAGCGAAAGCTTATATTGTAAGGACGTTTACTTCACGAAAACAACACTCGTATAGAGAGTAAGGCCCACTGCTTGCGTAAAACCGCGGTTTGGCTTAAACCTCTTCTGAATAACCGGCCCATAATGTCTATCTCCACCAGGTAGTGTAAATGGGTACTGGTACCTGAAAAAATGCTAGGTAGCGTGAGACAACTAAATGCTTCTGGCACTGTGAACCGTTCAACTCGTGTTCAGACCGCAAATTCACGATTGTTAGCACGGTGGTCAGTTCGCGGCAAACGGCATTTGGATGAAAACTTTGTTTTAGCAAGTTGTTTAAATGTTCCACACCATTTTCATACTCTGCTTTGGGCTAGACTAACCTGTTCAACTGTTTTTGTTTGTTTTTGTTTTTGTTTTTTTCTTTTTGGAAGACGAGGTGGTGGTGTTCTGCCCGTTAACACCATTCCAGGAAGATGTTTACCAAACCCTTCTACAGAGCCCAGATGTTGAACTGATCCGTAAGAAAAACTTCCCATGTGATTGCGGCAGTGGAAAGGACAGAGGGAAATGTTGTTACACGGTAAATTACGATAATGTTGAAACAATTTTCAATTGAGTCGATCAATCAGGCGGAAAATTTAAACTTATGTTAAATCCTAGGTTACTTGTGTGTTCCATGCTTGAGCCGGGTAGAAAGTGTTTTCTTTGAGTTCTAATCTGTTTTTTGTAATACCTCTCTTCCTCCAGCCTTTTTTATTTCTTAGGGTCTGGATTTCAAATCAGCACCAAAATTTAAACTGAATAGAACGTCTTTCAATAGATAGGTCTTCGCAGTTATAAGCACCAACAGTGAGAAGAAAAAGTGGGATCAAAATATTTTAAACATTCATTTGATAATTGTCGCTTGTTTTGTTTTCTAAATAGCTCAGCTCAGAGTTTGAGGACATCAAGACCGTGACCATGCGGTTCTTTCAACTGCTTCTTAAAGTTGCAAATCACGCCGCTTTGTTGGCACCAACCGTCAGGCAATCACTCAACCAGCAAAAAAAGGTAGATTTCTGTAGGTGATGAGCAGATAACTGAGGGTGACAGGCAGATTAAAGGAGGTGGAATGTAGCTAACTGTAGATGGACGGTTGATAACTGAGGGTGACAGGCAGATTAAAGTAGGTGGAATGTAGCTAACTGTAGATGGACGGTTGATAACTGAGGGTGACAGGCAGATTAGGTAGATGGACGGTTGATAATTGCAGTTAGGTAGATGGACGGTTGATAACTGAGGGTGACAGGCAGATTAAAGTAGGTGGAATGTAGCTAACTGTAGATGGACGGTTGATAACTGAGGGTGACAGGCAGATTAAAGTAGGTGGAATGTAGCTAACTGTAGATGGACGGTTGATAACTGAGGGTGACAGGCAGATTAAAGTAGGTGGAATGTAGCTAACTGTAGATGGACGGTTGATAACTGAGGGTGACAGGCAGATTAGGTAGATGGACGGTTGATAATTGCAGTTAGGTAGATGGACGGTTGATAATTTGCAGTTAGGCAGTTGAAGGCGGCAGGGAGATAATTGTCGGTTTTTAGTAGTTTAATGTAGTTGTCAAGTAGATAACTGCAGGTGACAAGGATAACTGAAAGTGACAGGGTGGCAGGCTCGTAGCAGTTTTCAACCCTTGGCTGTGATCAATTTTTCAAAAACGTTTTGCTAACCCTGAAACCATTTATTTTCTTATGGTATTTTTGAAGACGACCCATTACCCTCTTAGGTGGTACTACTGATGGCTTAATTTAGAGATCCTCTTTAAACAATACTGTAAACTCCTCCATTTTCCTCCTCCTCCCCTTCCCTTGCCACGAGATGGGGAACTCGTTTATACATCCAGTGCTTTCAAAAGAGAGTCATTTAAATAATACCAAAGAACCAAAATACACTACATGGCGCATCTTTTTGTATTCTTCGATCGCTCAGATAGAATAAATACCATTTACAGTTTACGTTTCTCTCTCTGACAAAAACCCTTCGGTAAACCAATGCGGGCTTTCACGTACAAGGACGTTTCGTGACGAAACTATATACATAGCCTTGTAAAATAAAACAACAACTTCGTCAACGTTTTCTGAAGGGTAGTTTTACAGAGAGAAGGGTTTATTAAGGCGTTTAAAGTAAGCAAATCATCGAAGTGGTGAGATGTTAAAGTGTTTCTCTTAGTTATCACAATAAGCTTCTACGATTTGAGACAAAAGGGATAATAATATTTTTGCTTGATTTGTTTTTCCAGGCCAAAGATCTTTGTTTGCGTGTATTTGCAAGATATCCAGAATTTTCCGGCTGCGCGGAAATGTCGTCGTTTGAACTTTTATCAGACCCAAAGTACTGTGGAAAAATGAAGGTACTTGAAAAATTGATGAAAGTTTTCCAAGAAGACCACAGCAAAGTACTCCTCTTCTCGAGATCCACGCAGGTGGGTACAGTATAAACGCTGTTCACGCCACATAGTGTATTTTTTTGGCTATTCGAAAGCTCGCCCAGGTTAATGGAATGGTTGTTAAATAGTACAGCGAATTGATTTAGGCTCAATTCTTTTCTTGTAAGTTTTGCAGGACCGAAGATGTCAAATTTAATTTTTGCTTATTTACATTCCTACGCTGAATTACGTTTTAAAGAAATTTCTTTCTTATCCATAACAGAGCATACAAAAGGCATAGTTCCTAAAGTTTCCTGAGGTTCTTCCGGTTTCTGTGGCTCAAAGCGACTAGTATGCATTGATAGGATGCCAGTCTGACGTGCACCTCCATTCTCCTTCCCCCCTTTCCCCGTTCCCCTCCCCCTCTATTCACCCTTCCCCTCTTTGCCCCTTCCTGCTTTCGCTTTTCCTCCTTAACGGAGAGAGGCATTGTGGGAGTAAAATGTTTTGCATAAGATCACAACACCGTGGTCCTGGTGAGGATAAAAAGTATGAATTCCACTGGTCCCAAACGGACTTTATAGCAGCACACCCAAATGATGTATTTTCTGTGACATTGTTTCAGCTTCTTAACATCGTAGAAGAGTTTGTAATCAGTAAAGGACTGATATACAGTCGTTTGGACGGAGGAACCAAGCCTGCTGACAGGACCCGTTTGGTACACGAGTTTAATGTCGACCCGAGTATCTTTGTGTGTCTTATCTCAACTAAAGCGGGAGGACTGGGACTGAACTTCACCGGAGCTAATATTGTTATAATATTTGACCCGAACTGGAATCCGTCTAGTGACTTACAGGCTCAGGACAGGTATTTGGAGGGACTCGATGACATTTTTACTCTGGACCATTTTAGAAAAATAATCACAGCGGTCATTCAGAGCAAATGAAAAATATTACAAGCAATCATCATTGAGAAGTCTTAGTGAAATTAGCGAACGAACTGAAGTGAAGTAAAGAACGACTCTACTTTTGCATTGATTTCGGCTTGGGGCTGCTCCTGATCCGATAGTTATTATCTGACAGTTTTTTGTGTGCGTTATATGTGGCGTCTATAATTCCCAAAATGAGGAATTTTTCCTCCTTTTTTTCGCAGAGCATATCGCATTGGACAGCGAAGAGATGTGAGGATCTATCGCTTAATATCTTTGGGGACAATCGAAGAAATGATGTACTTGCGACAAGTTTACAAGCAGGTAACCTAAATCTTATATCGCGTGTGTTGGTTGGTTCCCCCTATTTTAGCCCTACAGACAGGCAGGCTACTGAACATTAAGCATACTTAGTGGAAGGACAAGGACACGTAAGGAGAAAGTATCTTGCTCAAGACAGCGACACGGTAGCAGGCGACAGTGTCTCAAACTCGCAACCTGTGGTCTCCTTCCTTTCTATGTTGTAGCAATTGGCTAGCATGGCAGTTGGAGGAACAAACGAGAGGCGATACTTCACAGGTGTTGAAGGTGACAAGGACAAGAAAGGCGAGCTGTTCGGACTAGAGAATCTTTTCTCTTACCGAGCTGAAGGTGCCAGTTTGTCCAAAGATATCATCAGAAGAACAGAGAAGCTAGAGGCTGGATATAAAGTGGTGGAATATGAGTTGACGCACATCAAGGAACGGGAAGATGGCCAGGTAACTGAAAGAAGGGGTGTTGAATATTAATTCAATCTATTCCGTTTTTCAATCCCCTCCATTTAATGCCCTCCATTCATTCGTCAACATGAGTGCTGGTTTATTTGCGTCTATTCATTATGAAGCGACTAAATTTCTGATAAAACACGGTTTACAGAATGAAAAATTATTTCCTTTTTTAGGACGGCGACGGCTCTACAAACCTGAAATTTCATGTAGATCCTTATAACATTGAAGAACTCGCGTCACAATTTGTTGATGATCAGCCAAGAACCACCTTAAAGAAACAAGTTTCTGAGACCCGTTTTGAAGGCACGTCGCAAGAGAATAAACTGATTGAAAACCATAGTTGTTTTGAAAAACACGGTGGGGGTTCCTTCGATGGAATGAAAAGCAAGGGTATTCATGATGGCGAGAAAGATATTCTGCACGAACTTGACAACAGTCAGATGTTTTTAAGTGATAGTGAAGATTTCCCTGAAACGGAAACTCATAGGAACAAGTTTATCTCCAAAGATACGAAAGCTAAAAGCTCTCTGGAAAAAAATGAAACGAGGAGGTGCGTCTCTGTTGAGCTGTTCCCCAGATCAGATGATGATAGCGGAGTGAACAGTTCGTCAAATAACTTTACAAAAGTAAAAGAAAAGGCAAGTGTTTCCTACTCGAGAATCCCTGCCTCTATCGAGGAAGAAAGTTACGATGTAATCCGTCTTTCTCCGAACTGTGATAGCGGACTTAAATCAATAATAACCAGCAAAATTTTGGCGGTAGATGCAATCGACCAAGGATCGTGCGGCAAAGAGAGGAAACCAGAGGAGGAGTTGAGGCATTCATTTAGAACGTCTTCGTCAAGCGATGAAGATTACTCTGACGAATGCTTGTTCTCCAAGCGTAAACGAAAGCAAACAGGAAGAGTTTTCAAGAAGAGAAGGCTTGCAGTGATGCCGGAGAAAGCTGCACTTAAAGATGGTCGAGAGAGATTTCGAAGGTAAATGTGAATACACCCTCTCATTTGTTCAGCGAATCTGAACCAAACCTATTGTGTCAAACTTTGAGAGTTTTCTTTTACAGGTGCCATTACTAGTGAATTTATTTCTTGACGCATTCAATTTAAGTCTAGTTTGAAGGTTGGCGGGCTTCATATTAAGATGTCAAATGAGTCAATTTTAAACATTTTAAGGGATTAAAATGAACACCTGGGCAGTATCTCCCTTTTAATCCGTGGACTCTCCAGTCCCCGTGAAAAAAAGGATTGTAACGTTTTTGGCTCCTAAAGAAACATGGCATGGCAGTCGCCACTCCGTCGCCAGTCAAATGCTCCTCGAGCTCCTTGAGTCATATTAAGTGAAGTAATTTTTCCTTTGATAGATATCCTGGGCAGAAAGCCGACAGCTGCAGGGTTGACAGCCATCCTGTTGCAGAGGTGAAAAAAGCGAGAAAAGAAAACACGTTGGAAGAAATTCTAGGTAAGCTCTGCGGGGCATGACTAACATTGTCAAAGACCCCGAATCATTGATTCCTGTTTTTCACGGCGTGAAAAACCATCACTAAGCAAAAGGAAACAGAATGAGGTTGCTTTTGCATTTAGAAGGAAAAAGACTACACAGATAATAACTAGGTAAGAGGGAGTAAAAAATATAGCAAATGAGAATATGAATCCGGATCTGAGCCAAAATTTTCGAGACTTACAAGCCGCAAGGTAACTTAATTTTTAAAAGTGCTAAATCATTTTTTGTTTTGGTTTGTTGTGTTCTTTTTTCTTTTTTTTTTTTTTTTACTGCAGAATCGTGCGGAGTGCATTACACACATGCCAATAGGTATATCGTCGGACCGAGCGAAGCAGAGAATCACATGTCAAAACAGGCAGTACAGGATGTGTTTGAGCTCAGGCAGTTTTCTCAGCAGCCAGCAAATTGTTTTCCTGCCTGGGAGGTATGCAATGCTCTTTTTTTTTTTAATTATCATTTTTTTTTTCCTTTGGTCCGTTTTCATGCTTTTGAACTCCATCTTAATGCGGTCAAAAACATATTCAATGTGTTTTTATTCCAAGAGCAAATATACTCCTTTTCCAACCAACAAAGAATTAGAGAATAAATCCGTTACTTTTCCCGATTGGTTGCTGGATGCAAGTTTTCAATTTTTTTTTTTTCCATGAAAGGTTACAAACGATAACTTCGCAAGGAGTGAGGCTTAACTCTATTTCCTTGTGTCAATCCCTTCGCAAATTAGTTCCATTATTTGATTTTCGCTGTTTTCAGAACAGTGATGAAAGTGATGATCTTGGTGAGGGTAGACGCTACGAGCAACCGGAAGTCCTCCGGCTTGCAGAACCACCGGAAACGGAGAGTACTCAACCCTGTCAATCAACACTGCACAGGTATGGTTTCGTAAGAGAAGTTAAAGAAAATTGTTTAATTTGGTAACTTAGTTTATTACTCGGCTGGCCTCGTGAGTCCGCGAGATGAGGTTAATTCTTTGTACATGCTGTCTCCCGTTTGGTTTCCTTCTCATATTTTGCCTGGTTACGACACTCACCCACTTCATAACGTTTACAACATATATGTTTTCCTTCCTTTGATTACCTTCAACTTGAGAGAAACCTGAAAATATTTGTATGGTGAGAAAAACAAGCACTAAGTTCGTAGGAATATATATCAGAAAGGAACAAGAATGGTTAGAGATGAAGAAAGATTGATACGGATGGCATTAGGCTTCTAAGGTGGACTTAAATGTATCTTCCTCTGTAGTGTGATTGTGCAAAGAAAGTTATCTCACCTTAAGCCGTATGTTTTACAAAAGCGAAATGTTACAGTTTTCTGATAAATCACCTGTCACAATGAAGGAGACAAGAAAATTGTTCAATCTTTCCTGCTTTATTTTAGATCAAATGAATCCGCGGAGGGTAATGATACCATGATAAAGAAAATTGGAAACAGCACTGTATTTATCGGCTCGACTCCTCGTGGAATTCGTCGACGACATTTTCGGGAGATGTTGGACTTGTTCGGATTTACCTTTGAAGTCGACCTCGCCAAAGCTGTAATGGATTGCAGCGAATATGAAAGGCGGGAAATGTTGAGGCGCTTTTACGTCCACAAGAATCCGAATTTATCAGGAGACTTAACAGGAGACTTTTTCGCCGAAAGCCAAAGCCGAAAACAGACCGTCAAGAATGGAGAGCGGTCTGGAGCGAAGACGCGGGAAAGGTTGGTTCGTAAAACGTCCAAAAGATCGCATGGGAAATCAAAGCCCTGGCGAGTACATTTACGTGGTGAATACGCTTGTTCTGAAGATGATCTGGAAAGAAGTGAAATTCACAATCGTTCTGGCGGAAGAACTTCCTTAAGTAGTGAGACAAAATTTGCAATGGCGTTGAATAGGAATATAAAAGTCCCTGATGAGAGCTGTGTTAAAGACTTTGCAATGAACAACGAAAGAACTCGATCCGTTGATAAGAGAAACAGAGACATGCCAACGGCAGAGACAGTTTATTCTCTTGCACTTGCGAATCTTCCATCGACAGCAATAGCTTCTAATGAAAATTCTGCGGCAGGGAGCCGAGATTCTCGTTTAGAGAAGGACAATTCCCGTTTTGCTGTTTCTATTTTGGATGAATTCCTAATGCACGACTCTTCCAGCCATGAAACAAAACGAAAGGAGGATAGTGACAGAGGATTAGACAAGTGGGAGCTACGTATTTCTAAAAGAAAGGATGACAAACAACTGAACAACACTGAACTAAAAGAACCGAATGCGTGGGAGGCAAATAGCACATCGTTATTAGATGAGTTCATTTAGGGATCACTTCGGTAGCTCAACGTAGAAATTTACTCAAGATTCGATTCCGTAACAAGAGATAAACGACTCAGCATTTTCGAATTGAGATTACTTCGCTTGCTATATTGATCAACGCAATCATTGTAACTACCTAGTGACCCTCTTGATTTGCTGATAAGTGGTCTCACCAACAAGAAAAAGTTTTTAATTGCTGGTGATACCTCCTATCAGCAAATAAAGAGACTCACTGGTTAGTTACCATAGACGGCAAATGGCGGACCTAGTGCTATTACTAACCGCGTCGCTAACACAGAGCTAACCAACCCCACATCATAACTAACCTTTTAAGCTCGTATCCTACCCAAAATCCACTTTCTTTTTCTACATACCATCATGCAACACACTTCCTTGACCTTGCCTTGTATCCACATTTGTCATCAAATTATCCACAACACATTTCATCGGCATTATCAAAACAGAGAGTTTACAATACAGTAGACTTTCCACAACTCTGGACGACTACACCTTCATACACCGAAGGTTTACCCCACGACTTACAGACTTAGACCTCCCCTACAAACTTTTACCACATACTCTTTTACCCTGGCTTACTCATCACATCCGGAGATTTCTCTCTTTGGCATCAATTACAACCTCCCCTTGATTACTCACTCCAACAACACCCTCAATTCTTTCTTTGCGTCTTGAAAATATACCAGCCACCTCAACGTGAATATCTTTTACATTTATCATTCCTCTCCACCCAAGTGATAATTTTCTTTTTTCTCTGTTGTTTTTTTTTTTCATGTACTGTCCTCTTCTCCTGGCCGCCTAAACCGAACACCATAAAAAATTAACTGAATCATTCTGGTTACATTAAAGTTCACAAAGCAACCAGGTGGACAATCAGTCTTTGTTTGATGCTACTCTGGTTTAAGGATTTAATGAATGTAACCGGGGAATTACAATTCATAGACCCAACGTTTCGACACTCCTGTCGACTGCCTTCAGGGGTGAACTAATCGTGCAACAAGGTCACTAATTAGCTGCCCTTCTTTCTGACAAGGTGTAAATAGGCGTCAGGCAGTAAGCCGCCATTATCACGATTTAAAGGAGCGTGGGCAGAGTTGATGTACCAGGCTTCCAAACAAGGCGCTGGTTATAACGTCGATAAGTGGTGGTAATTTTAGAATTATCCCACCCAATTGGATGTAAATTAATTTTTAAGGGTTGACGTCTAGTTTAGTCTTTCCGCAATTGACAAATTTGCAAAACATGGTTTTTCTGGTTGAAATTAGATGATAGGTCGTATAATATATCACATTTGCGAGACCAAAACCATTTTTTTCAGATTACAAAACATTTCCTCACCAAACATTGCTATAGTTTTGTGCAGAAACTTCAACTTCGGCCTTATGATGTTTTGTCGACAGCTACATACATGATTTTGGGAGTGAAATATGTGACGTCAAAGAAGCATGTGAATGCGGGCTACGTTTTTCCGTGTATAGGTTAGTGGACGTTCACTACTTATTTGTTGTCCATCACAACGCAAGGCATCGTTTCATACCCAAAGATAGATCTGGATGGTACGACAAAGACTAACAATTAACTTCACCTGCTGTAGAATATGGCACCTATTGGTTAAATGTCTCTTTAAACACGAAGGCGCGCTATATAAGGAAGTCTTCCCTGGGAAGACCTAGGCTCATTTGTCACTCACCGTTGACGTGTGCGGGTCAGATTTAAATGCTGGTAGACGAACAAAAGGAGCTAATGAGATATCTATTGTTTACTTCCACCAGCATGGTGGCATGAGGTAACGTGCGAACCACCTACTTCGAACTCAAATTTACCACCACAAATAAAGACAGTTTCCATTGGAGAAAGGAAATGCAATCTCAAAAATTCTTGTATTGTGATGAAGAAATAAAAGAATTTTGAGGAATGCGCCCGCTGTTCACTGCTTTGGAGTAGCTGTAGCTCAAGCTGACTCATAGTTAGTAGAGTCAGCCATAGTTAGTCCCCTCTACTAACTATGGCTGACTTGACTCTAAGAGTTCTACATCACACGACGGTTGATTGACAAATGGTCCAGTGGGACCTAAGGCTCCTTTTATAGCGCGCCTTCGTGTGACATAAGGAATATTTAGTAAATAAGGACAGGCGTTCAGTAAGTGCATTTTAAAGAAACATTTGACCAATATCTGCAATATTTGAATCATATCTAAATATTCCTAAATTCTAAGCACATAAACTTTTAATTTCGCCCTTTCTATTTAATGGTCCTTTATCACTCCGAATTGATTCGACGCGTTTTAGAATGTTAAATATGCGCATTTAGAGTTTTAGTAAAATGATCACCTTTTCACAATATAGCCGCCATCTGCAAAATTTTGCATTTTCTTTTGTGCAGCTTTGAAATTCCGAGTCGTAACCTTTCAAAATATTTCAAGTCTACTCAAAGAGCCAAACCATCACCTTTCGTAGTCTAGTATGGGAAAATGTATGCTATTGATGATCAGTGTACACTCTGAAAAACTTTGTAGATTAAAACCGTCTCTTCACTCTTTCCTTCCGAGATAAACAGAAAATTTACACTAAGATTATACTGTGCACGAAATGTTTAAAATCTGGGTAAGAGACTAGTACCAAATTTATCTTAAATTCTGAGGAGATCTGAAAATAAAGCTTCCATTTAGAAGTGATCACCAATAAAAGGGTTGACATCTTTAAATCAGCCTTTAGAAAAAGACATGGGATAGCACTGTGTAAGCACATATACAGCGCTCGTCATGGGAGCATTAATTCGAGTCAGTTAGATACAATGAAATATATGAAGTTCATATATTTCTTATGATCGTGCATCATACGTATCGAGTCAGTTAATTAAACAATCACTTTAACTATTATTAATTTATTTTCTCCTTTATAGTATGAGATACAAAATATGACAAAAAGCTTATCTTCTTTTACCTCAGTTCTTTATCTTCCTTTATTCTAGAAAGTGAAGTTAAAGATGCCCTTTTCAATTCCTCTCGCAATTCGTTGAGATGTAATAGTTAATTTTTCATTTAGGAGATAAGTTATAAGGTCTTATAATGCCGCTCTTTTCAATGTTTTCCTTACTTTGTCCCTATAATATTTTTTATTAAACACGTAGAGGTTGTCGATTCCCGTTAACTGACTATTTAATACAGTTTTCAACCCGCCAGCAAAACCATACCTAATGTTAAAATCTGTTTGGTTGAAGTTTACTTAGCACAACTAATGCTTCTTTTTACCACCTTGTTTATGTCTCTTTTGAAGAAGGCGTACGCCAAAGGGTTGATGGCCGAGTTTAACACCAGAATAGGGATTTTATACTCATCGTCATCACACCCTTTTCTTTCATCACCGATTAAAAAAACAAAAGTACAGGGCACAGAAACTCCGTAGCACAGGAGAAATATTCCTATTACAATTCTGATCATTATAACGGCAGACTTCTCTCGAGTTTTGAAGAAAACTTGATGGTTGAAACGTAACTGTTTTCCTAAAGAACGAGATTCTCGATTATGCTTACAGACAGCATGTAAAATGGATAGAAAACAAAATACGCATAACACAGATGGCAGCAACTCAAAGATAATCACCATCAGAATAAACGAAAAATAAAACAAAAATGGTAGTTTAAAAACCATATTCTGTAGAGCGTGAATCGTTTGATGAGCAACCGGAATAGTCCAAGATAAGGAAACCATTTGAATGATGCGACGCTGCTTCCTAAATGTCAAGTATTTTAAAGGTTCCACGACAGCCATGTAGCGATGCAGGACCAAACTGCGCAAATTCATTACGGATGCGTACGCCAAAAGGTTTCTCGCAATGTACATCTGGGGACTTTTTGAGATGCATTTATCTAGCTTGTCGCAGATGAATGATGAAGGAACAGCTACCACTCCGACACAGAAATCCGCCACTGCAAGTGAAACAATAAAGGTGTTGGTTTTGGTGCGAAGCTACCGTTTACTGCAAACAAGGAAAATGATGAATCCATTTCCAGATATCGTCAGAATTGATAGAGACCAGCCAAGAATCCAAAACTAGGTTTTCATTTTTTTGGTTTTACTCTATAGCGCTGTATCAGTTCATAACCCAATAACTATCTGTCGTGATAGGACTCATCTGCAGTTAATACGAGTGCAGTTGATTACAGGTTTAAAGCATCTTTTTCTCTTTTGATACTCTACCGTGACATCTTGAAATGAGAATTTACACATTGATTTTTCTTGATATTGAAAAAAAAGCTACAAACAACCATTGTTATATAGCTTGCAGTACCCAAGGGCAATATGAAGCGAATCCTGTGTTCTGATTGGCTACCAGAGCAGGCAAGATGGGCCCATCTTGCCCGCTCGTTACTGCCCACTTTGATCCACCACAAGAGAAAAAGTGCGTAAGTTTTGGACGTCGGCAGAAGCGGCAGAAGCGGCAGATGCGGCAGATGACAGTTAAAAAACAAAAGGAAAAGTTATACGACCCGCTTGGGTTTATTGTGCCACAAACAGTGTCTTTCTTTCTCAGCTCTCGAAATAAACAAGTCATTCTTGATTCTTATTAAAAGAGGAATCTTTTTGCTATATACTGAATCCTTTATTGACCAAGATTGCTCGGTCAAGATGGCTGGATATCAGCTTCGTTCTTTTTTTTTTTTGCGTTTTTTATGGACCTCGACGAACGCCCAAGCTTGGTCGTCAATAACGCATATTTATAATATTTCTAATCACTTAAACATCAATCTGGATTTCAAAATGATAGATATGCTTCTTTCATAAATATCTTAGAACTGTGCGGTAGAATAAAATAAATCGATAACTGAGTGAGTATCCTCGAGGCAATTTTTCGGCCAATCTCATCGTTTTGACAGCTTGCACTGCTGGTATGGTAACCTGTGACATCGGTAAGACCCCTAAAAACCTGTCATCGTTCATGAATAAATAGTAAGTAAGATCTTTTGACAGGGAGCCCACGTCACAAAGTGTGGTTTTCAGTGAGGCCCTGCATAAATCTAACGTAAGGATAACAGAAAATATAAATATGGTTATCAAGAAAAGGATAAA